TGGGCCTACGGTTCGGTTCGGGTTTAGGGTTTAGGGTTTAGGGTTTAGGGTTGATATGTGTCTTAGGTACGACGGGGACGTCTATCGCGCATTATTTGACTCAACAAAGATAGAAGAGCTCAACGAGCAGGACGTCTCTGATTCATACAAACTTTATCTGCAGTATGTCCTCCACCCAGAAAGAAAGAACCCCAAAAATAAACTCTAGGCACCCTCCTCAACTAACGACACAACCGCACCTCATACAACCCCGGAGGTACCCTTGAGCGTATTTAGGAGGGGGCCCCTAGGGGCCCCCTTGGGCTCATTTGGGGGGCTCCTAGGGGCCTCCTTGGGCTCATTCGGGGGCCCCTAGGGGCCCACTGGGCTCATTTGGGGGGCCTTAAGGGGCCCACTGGGCGAATTGTGGTGCCCCTAAGGGCCCCCAAATGAATACCGGGGCCCCTCGTACGCGCATTTGGGTCCCCTCAAAGCACACAGGGGCCCCCTGCAGGCACATGGGGGATCCCCCATAGGAACATAGAGGCCCCCCCATAGGCACATAGGGGCCCCCCATAGAACATAGGGGCCCCTCCCATAGGCACATAGGGGCCCACCATAGCACATAGGGGCCCCCCATTAGGCACATAGGGGCTCCCATAGCACACGGGGGCCCCCGCAGGCTAAAACTGCACTTCTATCCGCAGATAGGGGCCCCCCAAAACGCCAGTGATGCTCGTAAAGAGCATAGGGCCCCCTCAGGTGCCCACTAGGGCTCCAAAAAGAAATGGGGGCCCCTGAAAGACCTAGGGGGCCCCCAGGGCCCCCAAGGAGGTTTAGAGGGGATTCGCACTGCCCTATAGGAAGGGGCCTTCGGGGGCCCTATTGCGAGTACGAAGAAGAGGGTTTAGATATTATTGAAGGGCTGCCCTATAGGAAGGGGCCTTCGGGGGCCCTATTGCGAGTACGAAGAAGAGGGTTTAGATATTATTGAAGGGGCCCCAAGGAGACCCAGTGAATGCTGATGAGGGCCCCATAAGGGGATTAAGAGGCAAGGAGACAGAATAGAGAGACAAACACAGAGGAAGAAAGCAACACAGGTTTTAATTGCTCAAGATACACAACGCCTCCTCCGCTCCTGTCAAGGTGAAGCACGTCAGCAACAACAGCTGCACGTGCAGCAGCACCTGCTGCAGCTGCAGCCGCTGCACCTGCAGCTGCCTGAAGTAACTACCACTGGTAGGGCAGCTGCTGCTGCTTCAGGTAGCAGCAGCTGCAGCAGCTGCAGCCGCTGCAGCTGCTGCTACCTGAAGCAACTACCACTGGTAGCAGCGACAGTGCCTATGCGACCTGCAGCAACCGCTGCATCAACAACATTCCTGCCAGCGTAGCAGCAGCAGCAGGGAGGAAGATGCGGCTGCTTCGTCCACAGCAGCAGCAACAGCAGCAGGAGCAGCAGCAGGAACAGCAGCAGCAGCAGCAGCAGCAAGATTGGTTGTGGTGCAGATAAGTGTATGTCAGATATCCCCACGCTCAATTTTGCTGCATCTCTTCAGCAGCGACAGTAGAAGCGGCAGCAACCGTCAACCAGCAGCAGCAGCAGCAGCAAAAGCCTGCTGCTGCTGCAACTACTGAGAGGCCGCAGCAGCCTGCAGCAGCAAGGAACTGCTGCTGCTGCTGCTGCTCTACTAGCAACACCCGCAGCAGCAGCAGCAGCTGCTGCTGCTCTACTAGCAACACCCGCAGCAGCAGCAGCAGCAGCAGCAGCCCATATATCTCTGTGATTTTTCTTTTAGTAGCAGCAGCCCCCTTTGTTTGTGGGGCGCAGAAGCCGGGGGGTATCGAGCTGGGATCGGGCGATCCCAAATTTGTCTCCTCCTCGCCCTTTTCTTTTGTTTCTCTGGTTATGTTGACTGCAAGGCTTTTGAATCCCCTTTTGTCTTTAATAAGTACCCTACGCATGCACGCAGCAAATGCGCAGCAGCACCAAAGAGAGACTGAGAGAGGAAAAAGAGACAGACACCCCAAGGAAGAAAAAGGAGACAGGGGACACCTGTCTCTTCCGACTGTCTCCGTGCTGCCCCTCCTCGCACAACTGTCGTTTTATTCACATTTTAATTTTCTTTTTGTTCGTTGTTCTCTCCTTATCTCTGCTTATTATTTGCTTAAGGTGTCAGGGCCCATGCGGTCTCTCTCCACCTGTCTCCGTCTCCTTTACAGGAGACAACACACACACAGCTGCTGCTGCAGCTGTTCGCTGTCTCTGTCTCCTTAGAGGAGACAGACAGCGAGCTCTCTCCCTCTGTCTCTTCCAGAGGAGAAAGAGAGCTAACTGCCTCTCTCTCCTTTAGAGTTTGCGGGTTCTTAGGAACTGTGTAAGATGCGTTGAAGAGAGAAAGGAGACACCTCCACTTCACCCTCTGTCTCCTCTACTCTCTGCAAATAACGAAGCAGAAGAGACACCCGAAGGGTCTCTACCCCTTGTGGGGTGTGAGGTGTTTGTCTCCTTGAGGAGACGAACACCTCACCATACACCCCAATGTATTACAACTGGAATCACGCAAAAGGAGACAGGCGGGAGGGACATCCCCGTCCCCGCCCCAAGGCTGAGGAGACACTCGGGGTGCAGCAGCAGAGACAGAGACAGCAGCAGCAGAGACAGCAGCAGCAGCAAAGCGTAGGACGAGAGGGGAAAGGGGCCAAGGAGACAAAATAAGAATAAGCAATCAGAGGAAGACAGAAGCAAAATAAAACGACAGGAGACCGTCCCGATATCCCGATATCCCTGGCTCTCAGTCTGTCTCCTCCTGTCTCCTTTCTAGCTCTTCTTCTGTCTCCTTCTCTTTCTTTGTGCTGTCTCTTGCTCTTTGTTTCTGCTGTCCCTTTATATCTCAATCAGAAGCACTTTACTGTCTCCGTTTAGTCCCTTCGTCCTCTGTGTCTCGCTGCCCCTCTCTAATTTCTTTGTCTCTCTTCTCAGGCTAATTAAAGCTGTCTCCGTTGTTATTTGTCTCATAGAATGAACCATTATATATATAAATATTATACTCATAAAACTAAAAAATGTAGAGAATAGGTATATGTCTATTTACTCATATCTATCATACACATATAATACCTACATATATATTTCTGTATAAACACATACATATAAATATTATATACATTAATATGTAGATATATATACGTATATATATATATATATATATAAAACTCTTAGAGGTAGCAAAGAGCTCAGAGTTTGGTCTCAAATGGTCTTATTGCTGCCGCCGCGAACAGCTCTAAGAAAGCAGCAGAAAAAGCAGCAGCAGCAGCTTCTGCTGCTGCTATAGCAGCTGCTGCAGCAGCAGCAGCAGCTGGCCCCTGCATGCACTGACGCCTTTCAAGCCCCAAAGCAATGAAGCTAAGGCCTCAGACCTGCCCCTCCATTATCCTGCAAATAGCAGAAGACAAAAGCATAACACTTCAACTCAACTCACAGAACAAAGAGACAAAAGGAGACAAAAGGAGAGAAAAGGAGACAAAAGGAGACAGCTGGAGACAGAAATAAAGAGACAGAAACGAAAGGAGACACAAGAGACAAACAACACCAACAAAAGGAGACTGAAGCAGCAGGAGACAGACAGAGAAGCAGAGGCAAACAGACAACAACCCAAGCCCCATAGAGACCTAAACACGAGGAGACACAAACGAAAAGAGAAGGAAGCAGGAGGAGACACTTCCTTTGCAGTCTGAACCCCTTACAAACCTACCTATCTACAACTACATTTATAGGCAGTACTTTTTCTGTCCCCATCACAATCCTGCATCCACAACACACACAAACGTTTGTGCCCCTTTAGGCTTTATAAAAATGCATGCATGTACGCATGCATGCATGCAAGCAGTCAGGTAAGCGTAGATGCATGCATGCATGCATGCATGCACGCATGCATGCTATAAGTCAGGTAAGCGTGCATGCATGCATGCACGCATGCATGGACGCATGCATGCAGACAGGTAAGCATGCATGCATGCAGGGTGAGGGAAAAGAAACCCCGCTAGACGCTGCTAGAGAAAGCCCCGTCTAAGCATTGGAAATCCTATAGAACCCTTTAAACCCTAAACCCTAAACCCTAAACCCTGACATACTCGGTGAACTTAGTGGCCTCTTCCTTTGACAAGGGTTCGTCTCCATACATCTGCACGATATTGCAAAGTTGTTTTGCAGACAAGTCGCCGGCGATATTGCAAAGTTGTTTTGCAGACAAGTCGCCGGTGGCCTGAGGAAGCAGCAGCCCAAGACCCTAAACCCTAAACCCTAAACCCTAAGCCGGAGCACCTCCCCAACGCTAAACCCTAAACCCGAATATCCCTTACCCTTAAACCCTTACAATCCAAATCTATGACCTCTACTCCCTCAGCCCTAAACCCTAAACCCTAAACCCTAGGGAGGGTTACCTGGATGTCAAAGAGAGAAAAGAACCGCTGAAAAGACTCAGCCAAATCTTCTGCATGAAGGGCCCCAGTAAGAAAAGTCTGAAAAGACTTGTAATCAACTTGAGCCGGCAGGGAGGCGCAGTCCTTCTCCCCGGGACTGTAACCCTAAAGGAGACACAAGAAAGGAGACAGACAACAAACAGAAAGGAGACAGTGAAATGAGGTAGAAGACAGAAAGGAGACAGAAAGCAAACAGAAAGGAGACAGGGAAATGAGGTAGAAGACAGAAAGGAGACAGGTACTAGACAGATATTAGACAGAAAGGAGACAGGAAGAAGACTGAAAGGAGACAACAAGGAGATAG